GAAACCATGGGTGTGGGTTCAATTCCAGACCTGAAGGGCAGCTAGGGGCCATAGTTTCAGTGGTTCCACCAGGCTCTATCGGACCAGCAAACCTGGTCCCCCCCCCCCTTTTTCTTTTTTCCTCCAAATGATTTTGAGTTTTGTAAAAGAGCTACAATTCATTCTTAATCTGGAAGTTTGGTACTTGGTTGATTCTTTTAATTTTTATACTTTTTTGGGTGTCTGAAATATTTTCTACCTAAAATGTATAATTTCTTACAAACTTCTTTCCTAACTCCCTATTTCCCCTCCTCCAAACCCTGGTAATCACTAATCTTTTGTCTTGTAGGATTTACTAGTTCTGTAGATTTCATGTAAGTTGGTTATACAGTGTTCTTTTATGTTTGATTTATTTCACTGAGCATAATGTTTTCAGGGTTCCTCCCTGTGGTGGTATATACGCATGTTTAATAGTTGCATAATTTTCTTATGTTTAGATTGCTTTTAGTTTTTCATTAAAATGTATCATAACAAATCTTTGTATATGAATGTTTGATTTATTGTTTTTTAATATTGTCTATTATCAAAGGATGTAGATTTTCCTACACGTTTGGCTTATAGCTTTTTCCTATTTATTCATACATACACATATACACACACATACATATTCAAACATATATAGTGAGTCATGTGTCTCTCTTACAACATCTCTCAGTCACTATATTAAATCTTTGTTGTATATTCTTCCAAACTTCCAAACTTTTTCTGTGTTTACAAAAACATGTCTCTGTATGTATATAGATATACACACAGTTTTTTTTCTTAATTTTTATCATGATTTGGGTGAAAGTTTACGGAGCAAATTCATTTTCCATACAGCAGTTCATACACATTTTGTTTCGTGTCAAGAAGACGGAATGCTTCACAAATTTGTGTGTCATCCTTGTGTAGGGACCATCCTAATCTTCTCTGTATCATTTCAATTTTAGTATATGTGCTACCCAAGCAAGCACCACACAAATGTATTTTAATACATCAATAAAATTTTATTATACAATCGTGGAAATATTATTTAGCGACATACTGTATATCCGTTAGCATATAAACAGTTCTATTTTTTTTTTATCTAGGAAGTAGTATCCTGTTGAGTTGATAGTTTATACTTTATTCAGTTGACCCCCTGTTGATGGACACATTAGTATTTAGAAATCTGGAAGAGAAGGAAGAACCAACAAAAGATGCTGAAATAACAATAAAGTAAGGAAGACTGGGAGAGTGGGGTCTTGGAAGACTAGAGAATAAAAAGAATAAAGTGTTAAATCAGCTCTGTCAAAAATGTTGATAGCTCAAGAAAAAGGAGGGTTTGGCTTTGTTTGGTCATGGATAATATTGACAAACCCAGTTTCTGTAATCAGAATACAGGAGGTAAGGATGTGAAATGTACAGAATTTCTTTTATGAATATTCTGTAAGTAGAAACAAATAGGGCAGTAGCTGAGGAGGTTTTTCCAGATCAAGGAGAGTTTTGGTGGTGGTAGTGGCGGTTTTAAAAGTGGGAGATAATAGAGAATACTCATAGGCTGTTAGGGAGCTCTGGTGGCGTAGTGCCTAAGGCATTTGACTGCTAACCAGAAGACTGGTGGTTCAAACCCACCAGCCAGCCACTCCTTGGAAGGAAGATGGGACAATCTACTTCTGTAGAGATGCCACCTCAGAAACCCCAGGAGGGGTCGCCATGAGTCGAATTGACTTGACAGCATTGAGTTTGGTTTGGTTTGGTTGGTTGATAAGCTGTTATGAGTAATACTGGAGAGAGGAGCAAAGTGATGCAGTAAAGAGGGAAAAATTACAGAAGGCAATCCTTAAGTAGGCAAAAAGAAGTGGGATTCATTGCTCAACTGGAAAGATTAACAGGAGCCTACATTGTTTATCCACTTCAATAGGATGACAGGCAGAGTGTATGGTTGTTAAATTTTGTGGTGAGAGAATTAATGAATTCTCTTTTTATATATATAAATATATTTATATATTTATATATA